AGACAAGGACGACCGAGATTGATGTCCGTCCTTGTCTATCTTACCTACTCGCATTCCTGCACATAGCACGGAACACAACCGTGGACATAGCACGGATCACCACCAAAAGATCGTGGACATAACCGACAAAATCGTGGACATTGGCTACGTAGTTCAATGTCCACGTTTTGTGGACATAGAGGCGCTGAAACCAGCTCAATCGCCTGTCCCAGCTAAATCGCGGGCATGGCCGCTCTCAGGATCCTCTCTGGTCGAACGCAGCAATTGGTAAATGACAAGGCGACGAGGTAAATTTGAATGCTTTACCTGTTTTACCAATAAGATTTTTAGAGACAATGTTTTTATCGACAAGATCTTTATACCGACAAAGTAAAAACCGACGGTCGAAAAGTGTCGAATGGAAAATTCATGTGATTAGGATGATGTCTTCTGCTACCTGCGTCAACACGTGGTTCTGCATTTTTACATAAAATTCCTTTTAATATAATTGCATCTGTTTTAGTACTCCGCCACATTCCATCGCGCCTTTATATGCTGGGATTGAAGGGAAATCTATAGTGAAACGTGAAGGAATCTGCATCTGATTGCTCGGAAGAGTCGGAAGTGCGCGCGCGGTGAATGTAGCGACTGAAAAACCGAACAAACCTCCCGCCGTGAACGGAGCCGCGGTGGCACTAGGCGCCCGGAGCCGTCCGTGGTAGGCCTGGAATGCGGTCGATGTTCGTTAGTGTGGAACGTAAATGAGCAATCGAGCGGTCCTCGATTCCGTTCGGGTCGGTGTGTGGCAGCAGCCCGGGGCAGGTCGCAGGCGGGAAGTCGCCCGTTTCACGACCCATGGATACGTCGTCCACGTTGCGCCGCGTACGCCGTTGAGGACCACCGGGGTGGAACCACCGCGCGCGCGGTTCGCACACAGGCGATTTACGGTGTCCGCCGATCTCTCCGAATAGGGACAGCGCGGGGTCAGGGGAGGGGGCACACGCGGGACGTAGAGGTAAGCAGCACACCGATGGGTGTCAGGGGGACAAGAAGAAGAAGACGAGGGCAGGCCCTGTACTCGTGTCCCGCGCTCGTCGCCGTCGTCGTCGTCCCCGTCACGTCGTCGTCGTCGTCGTCGTCATCATCGTCGCCGTCGTCGCGCCGTCGCTGTCGTACCGTCGTGCCGTCGCGTTCAGCCACAGAAGCGGCGAACAGGCCGCGCTGCTGGTCCCTGTTATGCACGCAAGGCAAGCGCCCAGCGAAGTGTTCATAATTGCACCGCCGCGTTCGTTAGTGCCCGCGGAGGAGGAAAGGGAAAGGACGACGACGCGGAGGAGGTGGCGGCATAGGCGTAAGAGAACACTTGACACAGCGGAGGCGGGAGAGAGATAGAGAGAAATGAGAAAGAGAGACGGCGGGATGGATTGAGCGCGGCGACGAGCGAGTGTGTGAGAGAGAGAGAGAGTGAGTAGGGTAAAAGCGTGGGCGCGATTTTCTATATAAGCGCGTTCCACCACGAGAAGTGGTACCTGTCCGTCCCGCGACGGTCGAGCAGAAGGACAGAGCGGCGCCGAGTTCCCGTCCGCCTCTGTCCGCCTCTGCCCAGGGTCTCAGGTTTCGGTCCGGTTCGTCGGTCCCGTCGTCCCGTAGGATGTTCACGATGTTCTCGGGCAAGATGAAGATCGAGATCTGTGAAGCGAGAAAGCTACGCGCGACCGACAAGCAGCGGAAGTTCTGGAAGGAGAAGGAGGAGCCCACGCTGGACCCGTACGTGCAGCTGGACGTCGACGAGCTGCACCTGGCCCGCACGACCACCAAGCTGAAGACCTCGGACCCGGTGTGGAACGAGAGCTTCATCCACGAGGTGCAGCAGGCGGTCTTCCTGGGTCTCACCATCTTCCACGACGCGGTACTGCCGCCGGATTATTTCATTGCCAATTGCAACATCCCGTTCACGGAACTTGTCAAAAATCTATACGAGGGGATCAACGATTTCTGGGTGAGTTCGGCCTGTCGGCGCTCCTGCATTTTCTGCTGCGGGGCCCTCCAACCACGCACGCGCGCGCGCGCGCATGTGTGTACATCCCCGCGCGTGCTGCACGCGTGTTGCACCGCTGGGGTTGTATTAATATTGATACAATTCAAGTCGGCACTCTTCACTTTCTTCGTTTTCATTGTTGTGAGCAGGATATAATCTGGACATGAACGAGATTCGTAAATGCTATCACTGTTGCTGATGTGACCAAGTAAACAAACGACATTTAAAGCCCGTATTAGACTATTGGGACGCATTGGGCAAATTGAGGATTGCAAATTGGAGATTAGAATTCGATCAATTAAATAATTTTAGTAGGAGACGCTCTTAAATTTATTTGTAAATAACTCTTTAATTTTAAAAATAATGTGAATTAATGAAATTGGCAATGAGAGCCAAAACGCAGAACTTGCTATGCAAGAATTCTTTTCAAATTATTCAGTATAAATACATATTCTTCAAATCTTCCTTCGACGTACGTTTCCGCCTCATTCAGGCTTTCTTCAGCGATTCATAAATAATACGTTACTTCAATACGTCATTACAAATAATTAAGTAATTCCTGGTAGACATAACAATAAGTTCAATGTGTGAGATGGATTTCCCCATCAATTTCAAGATTGCAAGCATGCGTAATCATTGCAGGAACAAGTCAAGGTGTATATGGATCATTAAAACAATGGATTATAACGTTGTCGTAAATTAAGAGGACAAACTTTTGCACGTCTATTGTCAAAATTAAAATATTGAATTTTAATTTTAATCGGTTTCTATCTGTTGAATTGTAATCTCCAAGTCGTGTTAATCTTCAAGGTACAGTCTGGCACAGGCTTCAATCAATATAAATCAAATATATAAAAAAATCAAATATATCAAATATTCTTGATAATTTGGCAAAATATTATATACTGCTCTAATTATTTTATATCCTAGTATAAACAAAAACAATGCAATATCTTTTGCAATATTTTCTTACTTTATATAAAATTATTCCAAATAAGACAGTATATAAGTGCTATTTTTATTTATTATAGAGAGAGATTAAATTAGTTTTTAAACCTTGAATTTTATTCTGTACATGCATCTATCGCATGTTTTATAGTTTCTATACTTATTTTAATGGTGTTGCTAGGTGATATCTCTTTAATCTAGGAAAAAAATTTCTTGTTGAAAAATATGTTTTAAACGTTGTCTCTACATTTATACCGAGATTTTAATGAAGTGATTTAATGAGCGCTCTTTCTCTTTCCGAGATTTCAAAATTATCGATGTTTTTTTTATAAGTATAGAAACTATGTAATCAGTTTTTTTTTCTATATAATTTGATTCTTGCAGTCATTCAACTTATAAAAGCATTCAGATAATAGAAAATTAATAATTTAGAAGATACTTTATTCTGGCACATTTCGACATTAAATGTGAAATATTTCATAAAATGTTTATTTTTCGATTTCGATTTGATAATATACTTTTATAGTGGAATAATGAGATGAATCGGACAAGGGAAACGAATAGTCGCATTTAAAAATAGAATATATAACATATTGCAAATTGTGTGCTTTTTTTTGCAAAAGTAATTATGTATTTTCTTCACGTCAAAACGTTGATTGTACGATGGTCCAGAATAATCGCCTGAAAAGTATAGCATAGTGTTTCTGGAGCAAATTTATTCCTTTGCAAAAAAATTTAAATAAGCATTTTTTAGTTATAGAATTTTTTAGCAAACGAGACTCTCGATCAAAGAGAGATGGCGAGATGTATATTTTCTCTTACATAAATATGCGCTTTATGTCAATCTATTTTTATCTCATTATTTTGTACGTAAAGTGTTTTACAAGATATTTAAAATTTATATCAAAATATGTCAGAATATAAATTATCTCGTAAACTATTAATATGTTGACACATTATCTTTACATGCATACTTATATGCAGAATATTATTGAATAAATATTAAGGGGAATCGATTTATATCTCTCTTGTTGGCCGAATCTCGTTTGTTCAAAAGTTGATAAGAAACGCATTATCTAAATGTTTGCAACGAGAAAACAGTTTGCTCCATTTTAGTTCAGTACATCATATATTTATTAGGCAATCATTTTGGGAATATGATATTAGGAGATATTTTTATATCATGCCAATATTGAAATAATGTAATGATTTAATCAGTAAATGAATAATTTCAAAAAATTGGAAAAGCGTATTATAGTCTATTGTTAGAAAATCATCAAGTTTGGCAGTTATAGGCTGTTTCCTTATAATGGACGTTCAATGTTTTCCAATAAAGTAAATAAAGTGTGAAAGAGCTTTTTGTCACAGAAAATTACATTATATTTTAATGATAAAATCTGATTTTTATACAATAGATTTATTATTATATAAGCACCCAATTTATCGACCGCGATCTTTGATATAAATTTGTGTAATAAAAAACTAGTAATCTAGAAACTATTTTTCTTATTTATAAAAAAATTAATATATAGTACAAACACTCAGTTTTTATTCACATAATTTATTGATTGAAATTGATACAAATATAACTCATAGTTTTGTTTGCAACATTAAAATGCAGCTGCTTTTTGTATCTTATATTAAAACAAAGCTTGAATTCTCTTGAAAAAAGAATTAATTTTATTAGTTAAATCTGATATAAAATTTATTTTAAAAGGAAATTTATTTTAAAAGAACGATCTATTTATTTAAATTATTATGCAGGTTTGAATTTTGACTTTTTAAAATTATATTCTACGTTGGTTTTTTCCTGGAAAAGAAAGTTTGGCAAAAAAAAAAAAGAAATGCATTTTTATTAGAATTATTTGCACAGTATCCAATTGAATCTGAAACACCCAATGGTAGACTGTGCATATGAAAATGTAGTGTGCAGTATTTTAGGACTAATTGAGACGAAACGAAATCTGTTGCAGGTTGAACTAGAACCTCAGGGAAAGTTGCGACTAAAAATAGCCATGTGGAATTCGCCAAGTAAGAAAAACCCTCAATATGTCATAAGTATACGTGATTCAACAACTCGGCTTAATATTTCAGTTCGTCAACCAAGTTTCTACGGGGAGTACAGCGGTGGGGAACACAGTCGTGCTAAAGGCAAGAAGGACCGGCATGAATTTAAGGAGAAGAAGCAAGCCTTGAATCGCCGGAGAGCGATGCGACGTAGGATTCACCAAGTGAACGGGCACAAATTCATGGCTACCTTTCTGAGACAGCCGACGTTTTGTTCGCACTGTCGCGATTTTATTTGGTACGTATGCCCGCGCGCAAAAACATCGTGCTTCTCATCGCTTATTAAGATCCTATACGTACAAGTACTTCTCGTCGACGCTATCTTCGATAGCGCCGAGCGCGTGCTATCTCGGAGTTAAGTTGGAAAACGGGAGCATGCTTGAACTGATGTGTATATTTCTCACCCGCGAGTACATTTTACAAATACGTTACGGCAAAATTTAGTTGATAGCGCACATCGAATTAATTCGATTAGAAATTTGCAAAATATGCAGGATTGCATGCATTGGGTATTTGGTCTTTCCTGATTATCTATACATTTAGTAATGTAGCCAAAAAGAGAGACATTTATTGACTAGTGTGCAATTAACAATGGTATGCATTGAAGGTTGAATTATTACAAGTAATTTATTTTAACTCAGGAGACTCGAGTGCAGAGATTAGAAGGAGCAGGCTTGGTATTGCTACGACTGGGGTACATTCTAAACGCTATCTGGGACAAATTTCTCTGTTTTCAAATGGGTTGCATGCTTGGGTTTTACAAGAGCACGTGCCTTATATAATCCGCTGAATCCATTTCGAGTTATTTAGGTGTTGGAGAATTTGCACAACGTATACCGTTCCGATTGGCAATACTTTCGAATAAACAATAACCGATTTGTAAAGAAAAGGAGGTTAAATAATCGACTAGGATCTATGAAGTGACTCGATCGAATCTTTCTCATCGCGCGAAGTCCTTAATCGTCTAAAAATCAAGGAGTCTAGCATAGATGATGACTAAGCATGATTGAAGAAGGCATACGTATGTGTCTTAGGAGGGATTATGAGGATACGATGTGACGTGTTTTGTCTGTTATATTTCAGGGGCTTTGGCAAGCAGGGCTATCAGTGTCAAGGTGAGAAGACACATACACCGTTATTAACAGATTATAGTTATGTATCCGCTTGCCGCACCCTTATACGTATGAATGTGTGTGTATGCAGTTTACCAGCGCGTGTACGTGCGATTAGTTTTAATCGACGGGAAAAAAAAATCACGATTAAGACTCTTAATCAATCGATTTATCGGCTTTACCTCTTTGACGCTTCCTTCCTAACTACCATAGCGCCCTGCAACTGTCGCGTTAGCTCATGCACTTTCTGTTCATCGCGACTAGTACACATTACCGCCTTGGGATTAATCTGCCTCATGATAAAACATTTCAATAATTATTTAGCTAAATTAGTAAGAATTTTGGTTGTTGGCTAAGTCTCCTGATTTCACTTCATTTGCTTTGGTACGATTTAGAACTAATCTGTAGCCAATTTTTTTTTTTTTACCAATCTGTAGCCCTTTTAGATAGTTTTTCGGTTTATTGCATGTTGTCCTTCGATAACAAATTTTGATCATGCCATCTTAGAGCTTGGTAACATTTTTGGTATCGAAAAAAAACTTGTGCCGATTCCTGCGTTCGAGGATAATGTTAAGTCAATCACACACGATCATATTTTTGCTTATGATATTATTGTAAATAATTTTCGGATGCGTCTTATCACGCATGCAGCTAGCTTTGGACGTGCTGTATTTGGCGTTTCCGTTTTCGAAGTGATCATTTTTATAAGGGGTACTCTATGTATTACTGTTTCAGTATGCACTTGCGTAGTTCACAAGAGATGCCACTTGTTCGTGATAACCAAATGTCCAGGAATGAAAGAAGAGGTATGTTTATTATTATACTATAGTGACGTAACATAATAGAAATACCATAATTTACAATTTATTGTATTGATATCAAAATCATTGCATATTCCATTTTTGAACATGTTGCTGCATTTTCCATCCCCCAGTTGAGTTAACTATTTATGAGCCATTTTCTAGTTACGTATATATACACAAAATTTCTCTGTCACCAATATTAATTTTATTCTAGGTTTCATCGTTTTGTTCTTGTTTTCTAAATTGTGATTTTTTTAAATGATTCATTTAGGGTGCAACGGCTGCCGGAGTACAGTCGAACCAGGGCACCACGGAGATAGCACGATTCAACATAGACGTTCCCCATCGCTTCGCTCTCCATAATTACAAACGATTTACATTTTGCGACCACTGCGGATCCTTGTTGTACGGTTTATTCAAGCAGGGCTTGCAATGCGAAGGTAACGCAACCATTTTATATTTCCATTAAAATTTTCATTAAGTAGACCTGGATTTCATTGTATTTCTTTTTCCCCCGCAGCTTGCAATATGAACGTTCATAAACGATGCCAAAAGAACGTTCCAAACAGTTGTGGCATTAACACCAAGGCCATGAGTGAAATTCTTAAGACAATGAATTTCTGTGCAACCAGCAAGCAATCGAGGGCGCCAAAAATTAAAGTGTCTTCGCGTCCTCAAACACCCACGATTGCCGAAAGGGAAGAGGATCAAGACGACAAAAGCTTCAAGAAAGATAAGAAAGGAATGAAGAAGGGACAGAAGAAAGGCCAAAAAACAATTAAAGAACATAAATCGGGGGACGAGAGGAAAGATGACCAGTTTGACGAGCTGGCGGAAGAAGCAGACACGGGCACGGACAACTCGCCGGCGAGTCAGAAGGACATGTCACCTAACGCCAGAGAAGATGATAGACTTAACTGTAATTTAAAAAAATTTGGCGTAGATGACTTCAATTTTATCAAAGTCCTCGGTAAAGGCAGTTTTGGCAAAGTGATGCTAGTCGAACTGAAGTCCAATCCCGACGAAATTTACGCTGTGAAAATCCTAAAGAAGAGCGTTATCATTCAAGACGACGACGTGGATTGCACGATGACGGAGAAGAGGATCTTAACCCTCGCCGCGAAACATCCTTTTCTGACGGCAATCCACAGTTGCTTTCAAACGGTGGATCGACTCTTCTTTGTCATGGAATACGTGAAAGGAGGTACAAATCGCCATTTTAAGAATGTGTAAAGATGTTTTTCATTTTTCTGGATGTTGCTGTTAACTCTCGATTTGTTTCCAGGCGATCTGATGTTCCATATCCAGAAGGCTCGAAAGTTCGACGAATCGAGGGCGCGTTTCTATGCGGCGGAGGTGATACTCGCGCTTCAGTTTCTGCATAGAAATCACATTATATACCGCGATCTGAAACTGGACAACATACTGCTGGATGCGGAGGGACATTGTAAACTGGCGGACTTCGGAATGTGTAAGGAGAACATAGTCGAGGGAGAGTCGACGACAGCGACGTTTTGCGGCACGCCGGACTATATCGCTCCCGAGATACTCCAAGAAATGCCGTACGGTGCTAGTGTTGATTGGTGGGCTCTCGGTGTTTTGTTATACGAGATGGTGGCCGGGCAACCGCCGTTCGAGGCCGAGAACGAGGACGATCTATTCGAATCGATCTTACACGATGACTTAGTGTTCCCCGGGTGGGTTTCCCCAGAAGCGGAGTCTGTTTTAAAAGGCTTTATGACCAAGAATCCTGCCAGGCGATTAGGTTGTGTTGCAGCCGACGGTGGCGAAAGTGCCATAAGGGTCCACCCATTTTTCAGATACCTAGATTGGGAAGCTCTCGAAGCGCGTAAAATAAAACCTCCAATCAGACCTAAAATTGTGAGTTCTGTTAATTTCTTTTTTACTTTGATTTAAAAAAAAAAAAGATAAGTAACCGATCGTGTGACGCAATTGCTTTCCGCGATTTTCAGAAAAATGAAAAAGATGCCTTGAACTTTGATACGGAATTCACGAAGGAGGATCCTGTGTTAACGCCGGAGGGTGCAGATAAATTAGGCGACATCAATCAAGAAGAGTTTCGTGGTTTCTCCATAGTAAATAGGGACTTCAATCCATTCAGGTATACTACGCAATAAGGGATGACGAGTTTCGGTTTAAAGAATTTCGATTTTTACTGTAAATATCATCCTTCTCGCTTAACCCATTGCTTTGTTCAACACATTTGCTATCTCGTTAAGTGTGAAATAGACACTTTGAAACTACTCGAGATAGCTCCTTTGATAGCTACGTTCGATGGAAATGATTCTATCTGCCGCAAAAAAGTTTTTTGACCAATCGAGACACATTGGTGGCAATCCGAAATAGTAAGAATTGCTGAGAATTATCGAGATAATTGGACAAAAAGACCTTTATTTAAACAAAAACCTTTATTTAATTTAGAGATCAAATAGGATATGGTATATTAGACGACTATTATTTCATACTTAAAAAAGGAACTGGGCTCTTTTTCTTGATCTATAATAATTGCTTGAGTAGAATTCCATGGTAATTTCCAATCAAAGTAAAGACATGTAATCTCTCTGACATTTCTCTCTCTCCCCCCTCTTCCTCTTCTGCCTCTTCCCTCCTTTTCCTCCTTCCCTTTTCTCTTTTCTCTTATTATGTCTATGTCTAGATATCTATAAAAAATAATTTTATTACATGTCATTAGATGTTATATATATATATATATATATATATATATATATATATATAAAATACAATA